AAAAGATATTTTTAAAACAAATCTAGTCTCGAGGAGATGTAATATGATTTTTTAATTTTTATTTTTTTTTTATTTATTTAAATTGTTTTTTTTTTATTATTTTTTTTATAAGACTTGGTGCTTATCTTATCTAAAATGGATTTTTCAACCGCAATATGCGACGTCCACTATATTAAATATTATACATACATATGTATGTATGTATGAATATGGAGACATCTTAAAATAGATAAATCTTTAAATTTTCCAAGCATAGTTTCGAGCATATGTCAGAGAACATTTAGATTGCTCTACTTGACCAGACGTTTGTCCACTATACTTAAGTGTTTACTGTACCGTGTTTAAGGTTGGCAATTGGCAATTTTAATTGAGGGCATTCCTACTGCTAAGATCCTTTTTATGTTTTTGGCAAATTGCCAAACTGCGCCAATTAAATAAATCGTGTAGCTTACGCGTTTTGCCAATAGATGGCGCCTATGTAAAAGCAGCCCTGCCAATTGAACAAATCGATAAGCGACCAGCAAGCATAATTGCCAACCAGCTGTCAACACGCTTTGTTTTTTCCTTGGTTTTTTGTTGTTTTTTTTCGGTTTCGTCTGGTGTTTAGGGAGACCCTAAATTTGTGCGCCGCACGAACGAATGGTGGATGAAAGCATCATGCGAAAGCTTAAAGCTCCGCGTCAATGTCATATGAGCAATAGAATAGGCACTATTGAGCATTGCTCTCAGATGGAAAGAACGCACAGCTATAGTAACGGCTCATATATGCATCTCTTTTGCGCGCACGCCGTGCCGCAGACAGCGTCTTGGTTACATCAAGTGATGTGCAGTTTATTTGCGGCGGCAGTGCCTGCAAGTTCCGTGTGAAGCTTTTTTTATGTTCGATCCAAAGCGCAGGACTGTTTGGTTAGCTGCCTGTGCGTGTAGTTGTCGTGTGTGTGCCTCTGGCCTGTGCCAGTGTATGTGTTTGTGTGTGTAATGTGTAAAGTGTAACACAAAGTCTTCATCGACTTGCGTTTGTCAAGTTTTTTCGTCCAACTGGTGAGACAAAGTCGGTAACTGGTCCGGAAAACATAGCGGTTTTTGTTTTTTATTTTTATAAACGGCAATCGAGCCTAGTTAACGTTCTCCAGCTGCATTTCTAGTGAAAGATTAATGTATAAAGCAAAATTTGTTGGCCATTTCATTTAATTGGGGCTAAAATACTCGACTTTTCGTGGTGGCATATAGTCACAAAAAAAAAGAAGAAAAAAACGAAAAAAAAATCGGGTCGAGTGGTGAATATAAAGTTAGAAAAAGTTCAACCGAATAATTGCGAAAATGAAATTAAAATGGAAACCATGAAATATACTTAATTTAGATATACATATATATATATGTGTGTGTGTATGTGAACATATATGTACATGTAATTGAAGTGAAATCAACGAAGAAGTGAATCCAAAGAAAATCATGCATTAATAATATTCGCTCGCCGCCCATTAAACAGTTCACAACCGCATCAAACATACAAACGCACACACACACACACACACATGTACACAAGTCCAGCACCTGCTATTCCGTATAGCCATGGACATAGCCATAGATATAGCCATATCCCTTGCCGTACATCTTGTTCAACAATGTTTGTCGCGCATCGCTCAGTTGGCTGTAATTGTTGAGTTGTCGCTAACATTTACAGTTAAATAGCCTCAATATACGCACTTGACGTATATATTTATATATAGCTATACTTGTGTATGTGCATACATACCTACATACATACGTACATCGAGTTACAAATGCGGCTGTGAATGCGACAGTATGTGCGCTCATTTCAATGTGTGTGCGTGCGTGCCAGCYTGCGTGTCTGTGTGCGTGCGTGCGTGTGCGTGTGTTTGTGTGTGTGAATTGAGCTTGGGATTGGGTCAGCGGGTTGGTAGCACAACGGGTGGAATGTTGCGTGGGTGGTAACGGCGTCAGAGCCAGCGTCAGCGACAGCGACAGCGACAGTTTTTGACAACGCCAAGTGAATTTTTGTTTCTGTTTCGGTTACAGCGGTTTTTATGTTGTGACGTGTATGTGTCGCAAGGTGAATGAATTGTATTTAGCACCAGCGCAGCAGCAGCAGAGGCAGCAGCAGCAGAAGGAGTAGCATCATCTGCAGCAGCAGCAAATTATTTACGTTTATTACATGTATATATGTGTACATGTGTGTGTTTGTCTCTCTAAAATGGCTATAACCTATTTATATACATACACAACATACATACACATTTACACACATACCTACAAATGTCAATATGTTAAGAAGAAGCAGAAGTACAAGAGTTGAGGCTACTGTTTTGTTGTTCACTTTTTTTTTTTGAGTGCCCTCGGGAATGAAAATGGTATTTAGTGTGCTAATGGGATTTGTACAGGCATTACAAACATACATATGTTTACGTATGTGTGTATGTATGTATATACCATCATGTATATAGATGCATTGAATGAAAACAAAATTCGTTAGCAATTTCTGAGCTGAGTGTAACAATGTTATTGTACATATGTATGTATGTAAATGTAATGTATGCATACGACATGCATTTACACTAGACAACAGGGTTCTGCTTGTGCCAAATAATAATAAATACTTTTTGCTAGCGAAATCGCAACGAAAGCGCAAATTGGCACCGTTACGTCTTTACAAGCATATGCATGTATGTATGTGTGTACATATGCATGTGTGTGCGTGTGTGTATTGCTGGAGCTGTTTGTGTTTATTTTGTTTTGTGGGCTTAAGTTGTTCTCTCAGTTCTATTCTGTTCGGTTCCCTTCAGTTCAGTTCAGTTATTTTTTTTTTTTTTTTTGCCATTTCATGTTTTTCCGTTTGCCATCCGAAACACACACAAACAAAGAGAGTAGATAGCACGATGACGTCACTAAACTACATTTATTTTGCATTTGTTAACAGAGAATTAGCTATTTTTAGCCGTACAATTCATACATGGCTAATTTAAGCCTGTTAGTTTCAATTATATATACATATGCATATATAATATGATATTCTAGCCCAAATGATTGCGCTTTATTCAATTTGTTCATAAATATTTGAAATGCAAATGCTTTCGTTGGCGAATCGAGGCGAAAAGAAAACGAAGTCTACTTTTCAGCGCTGGAGTGTGATGTCAAAAGTATCTCAGTTTATCAATAATTTGATACCATGCAACGTGGACATTTTCTTCTTCTTCTTCTTCTTTGTCTTCTTCGTGTTCGTAAATATTTAAATTTTTAATCGTCCGTCATAAATAGTAAATAATGTGTGCTTCCTTCTACACACGCATGCCTTATGTATGCCATTAGTAAATTCCCGACCAGTATTGGAAATTGGAAATTTGATGGCATTTCATTTGTTGTTAGGGGCGTACGTGTGTGTGAGAGTGTGTGTGTGTGTGTGTGTGTGTATGCACAACTGTTGTTAATTATAGAATTCATCTCTAACCAAACCGAGGCGCGAGCTGCTGCTGCTTAACCAAGTTCTTCGTGTTCTCAGCAGCGCAGCGCTGTCACAGATATTTCTTTCTCTCTCTCTCTCGCTCGCTCGCTCGCTTTCTTATTTACCATTCCACTCAATTCACCACAGCGTGTTGAACTTTTTCATGACCACACTTACGTATGTATGTACGTATGTATGTATGCGTGTGCCAGTGCCAGTGCCTGTGTATGTTTGTGTTTGTATGTATGGGTATGCAAGTGCCGAACGTTTCATCCCCTAACTTTTCATTCATATCGTGCTCCAGTAATAAAATGTTATACTGATAGCCTCAACTCTATTTACATACATACGAAATTATAAAGTGAGCGACAAAACAAATGGAAAAACAAGTGAAATGTTTTCATATTATGAATTGATTTCATATTACTGTTAACTGTGTTTCATTTTATCATATTTACATTACATTTATATACATACATACATGCATATTATATACATACATAGATGTGCGCGTGGCATGTGTATACTTGTGTCAAGTGACACACATACAGACATACATACATGTATTCATACATACATATGTACAAATGCATGCCAGCGTGCATATGTATGCATAGCTGCATGCATGCATATGTTTTAGTGTATGTGTGTGTGTGTATTTCGATAGGTCATGAACTGAATTGACCCGAACAAAAACAAAACCATTTCGCAGCGCGACAAGCTCATTAGTTTTAGTGATTTCCTTAAATAATAAATCGCATAAATAAAATATGAAATAAGTGTTAAATGAAATGAAATGTGTTAAAAAAAAAAGAAGAGAAAACAAAATAAGAAAACCCGGTCGAATAACTGTGCATAAAACGGAATGAAATCAAAGTCTAATCAATTCCATGTCTTTCTTGACCAATTAGCATTTTGTGCAATAATATAGAATAATACAATTCATAATTGTTAAAAAGAAGCTGGAAGCAAAAAGCAATAAGTAATTAGAAATAAATTGTGAACAAAGGAAACTGAAGAGTGAAATGCGCCTTGATATTATTGAATATATTTACATATATACATAAATATACATAGAAATATAATATGCTAATGTGCATAAGAAATAATCTATACATCAAATATATGCTTTAATAAAGTTCGTTGCCTAAGTCTTTGGTATGGTAAAAACAATTATATGAAGCTTTAAATTATATTGATAGTATTTATGTATTAATACACATACATTTATAACTTGTATTACATATTTATAAATTAACTTATCTCTGTCATAAATAATTTGGTTTTGTGGCCAATGGCCTTACGAAAATTTCACTGAATTTTCAATGTGACAACGGCGATTTCCTCAATCAAAACGAAGGCAATGCAGTGGCTAAGAGAGCTCGAAACAAACTTGAAATACACAATAATGTAATAATAATAATGCATATAATGCATATAAAGAGAAAAGACTAACAACAAATACAACAGGCGGGCGAAGAAGAAGCAGCTGAAGAAGGGGGAGGGTCGATTGCTGCGTGGCCTCCGTTGGGTTTTTGGTACGCCCGAATGGCGATGCACGCACACTAACACACACACACACACGCACGCACAGGCAATGTAACTTCAACCTTCAATTGTAGTTGGTGTTGCTGGTGTTGTTGTTGTTGTTGGTAGTTGTGCTGCTGCCTGTCACGAAACGTTATTCGTGCGGCCATGCGAGTTCACTGNCTTGTATACATATATTTAAATATATATTTGTATATGTATATCTGCTTATGTATATATGCTCATGTGTATATGTATATGTGTACATATTGTATATAAATCGCACTACCCATCCAGCCGGCCATTGCGAAATCATTGTACAGCCTTTGGCTACCCAACTAAATGTCCGGTTGCCACATTTGTGCCATGCGGACGGCGTGTCACATCCGACAAATGCGTATTGTTGTTCATCTTGTGTAATATAATTATGGCCGAGCGGTCGTTACAAAAGTATCAAAAATTGGATATAGTGACGGTATGTATAATCATTATCTTTTGAAGTCTAATTTCTATTAAGATCTAATTACATATATACATATATTTCGATAATATACGTTTTGTATCATTTTCTTTATCTTTTATTTCTATTAATGACATCAACAATTGATTCCGATTGTAGGTTGGAAGCAGCTCAGGAAGCAGTGCTAGCAGGGCATCAACAGGACTCCTTAGGCGGGGGGCACTTGGGTCGAAAGGGAGCCCATCGCTTAGCTGATAGAATGGGTGGCCCGAAAAAAGAGGAAAACCCACCAGGTGGTGGTCCGACGTCATTGTTTATCCTAACCGAGGATAACCCAATTAGAAAGTACACACGATTCATCATTGAATGGCCGCCCTTTGAGTACGCTGTGTTATTGACAATCATAGCCAACTGTGTTGTGTTGGCATTAGAAGAGCATTTGCCAGAGGGCGACAAGACAGTATTGGCTCAAAAATTGGTAAGTTATTTATACACACATATGTACATATAATCATAAAAATAAATATTAATACTATGATAATCATAATCGTTATAAAAACATTTATATTTGTAATCAAATATTTATTTATTACATTTCGATCTGGGTAATATCCATGACCATGTAGTCCGCCTATCCGTCCGTAGGAACGCACAGATCTCGTAAACCACAAAACCTAGAGTTTTGAAATTTCATATTTATAGTCGTGTACGTACAAGAGCAAATTTTTTTTCGATAACTCATTCCATAGTTTGACATAAATGTCAGCGACTTACTTTTTTGCTTTTGCAAAGTTTTTGTAATTTACAAATTTTGGATAACCCCACATTGGACAAAAATCGGATATAAAGTATACTAAACTCGTTTGTTTTGTCAGAAACCCTAATTGGAATATTATTATCTGTATGCTGTATATAGATAGTTCCTCTTAAGAGGATTTATTCATCAAATAAGTTTTCATAACGCAGTCCAAGCGCAGCCCTGCGTCAGCTGCCTCTGCATGTATTTGTATGCATGTGTGCAAAAAGGGCGCATAATTTGGGATGGTAATAGTGCTTAATATTTGAAAGTAATATTTATTTGAACTATATTTATTATTTTTGAAGCTCATTTTTGAATTCAGACTCATTCGTTAATTCCTATATTTAATATACTCTTTACTTGCTTTGACTTCATTTAGGAATTGCGTTCAGCTTTTAGGGTCATTTAAGTAAGAATATTGCAGTCGGGCGTATCGATTATATATAGATTTACTAGGTTTGCAACGTCCCCAATATGCGTAGACATATCCGCTCGGGATTTATTTCAAAATGCATATCGATTTTCGATTTACCACGCCCTTAATGGGCGGATTGTCAAAATCCTGACACTGTATAACTCGAAGGTATAATCGAGTATATGCTCCAAATATCAAGTCTCTAGCTTTTATTGCTCCGAAATGAATTGCACTCGGACCGTTTGGAGCGCTGCACAAAACCAATCCAATGAGTATAAAATGATTAATATAACATATAAAAATTTACATCTACATCATTTAGATATTTAAATATTTTGTAATTCAAAGAATAACACCAAATGTAATTTAATTTCCCCATTTCTAGGAAAAAACGGAGGCCTATTTTTTATGCATTTTCTGTGTAGAAGCATCGCTCAAGATCCTTGCCTTAGGGCTTGTTCTGCATAAACACTCCTATCTCAGGAATATTTGGAACATCATGGATTTTTTCGTTGTAGTGACGGGGTAAATATGTAATTTAATTAATAACCAGAAAAGGAGCAAATGAACCATATATTTCTTAAATAATTATTATTTTCGATTGCGGGCAATACAAATGCAACTATTTTATTCAGTTTTTGTCATCATTTTATTTATAATGTATTTCCTCAGTTGCTCTTTAATAATTATTGAAATCATATTGAAACAATGGATAAACGATTTTATTGTTTTGTGAATATTACTTAGTGTTAAGTACCAGGATCTACAGATATCATTATGATAACTGTTCAAATTGAGCGGATTAGGTTCATATATGAAATATATCTTGATTTATGTTTGATTTTTATATTTTATGTGCATTGAGAGAGAGAGAGAGAGAGAGAGAGAGAGAGAGAGATAGAGATCTAAAAGCTATAAAAGATGCCACATAGTTAAAAAAAAATACTTA